AACAATCTGATTGGATGCAGGCATTGTTCAGGTGTTTTGAAAGCCAGCGGGACTGACTAGCAAGATACTGAAGCTTGGCCCAGTGGGAATTTCCTCCATCCACACAGTTTAGCGTAGATGGAGGAATGTGTTGCACTTTTTCCATCTGATCATAGAAAATCTGCAGATAATCTATAGGTGTATGGCCAGCTTTAGTCTCTTTAGATGCATTAGGACCACTTTCTGCTACAGTATTAGCCAGTTCCAAGTTGCACAATTTTCCCTAAATCCCACATACACTTATATTTATAAAACTTTCACAGAGCTGTTTTGTGAAAATCTGACTTTACATTCACATTGAATTATGGTCTCTAGAGCAGAGGGATTTTTTTATGCTCCTCATTTCCATTTAGTGGCCATATTGCCACTATTGTATAAATACACCCCTTAAAGTGCTACTGAGGCTAAAACATTTTCTTTAGTGGAGAAGGATTAGAACCCCTGACAGGTTTTTATTGCTTTCTGTGTCCCCCCTTAGGGAGATTAATCCTCACTATTTGTTCTGGGGACTGTTATCTCAAATTTTCGGTTGTCACCATAACGGGAATTGATGGGAAATTTTCCAATGGGTCACTAGTTCGGGTGACCCTGTTGACCACCAGGAATTTACCTTACTTTGGAGGGATTTCATCTCACTTCCTGTTGTAGCTATTGGGCAGGATGCAAAAGGGAAATCTTCTCAATGGGACACAGATGGCAAAAAAAAAGGTTTGGCTTCAGTTCAGTGATTTCATAAAGAGGAGAAAAAAAAACTTGTACTTTCTTCCAAGATTTAATAGTATTAAGGATTCTTTTACAAGTCTGGGAGATACAGATGACTTGAGTTCATAAAGACCATACATTATATTAAAATCATACATTACAGATAATGGAATGTACTGGCCTGGGCTTCTGTGGCAACGTTGTTGCAGTTCAGTGAGAAATAAACTTTTGTACCAATTACCTAGTATTTCACACTTAAACCTAGGATGGAATAAAGAAAAAATAGCAAGCTCTGAAAAACTGCAGCTGTACTGCATTTCTAAAGAGGATGTATGCTACTGATCTGGAATTTAGTAAAAGATAGACCAAAGTACATATAAAAACATAATATTTCTTATGATGATTCAAACTTAATTTAAAGGACTAGTTCACTTTTAGTTTTACCGTTACAACGATCTTCACAGTGCAGTTTTGCCAGCTGACTCCTCTTCTCATTGTTCATGCATGCCATGGCACCCTTCATTCCTATGGGTGAGTGGAATATTGTTGGACTGCTAGCATATGGTTTACCCATAGGAATGAACAGTGCCACAGCTTGCACTAAAAAGAGCAGTTGGAAGAAACACATTCACTTTAAAGGCTGTGCAGTGTAGAAAGTATTTAACATTGCCGGCTGCACTTAGCGAAGTTGGGGAATGGATCTTAAGGGCACTTTCACTAAAAGTGAACTTCTCCTTTAAGTTTTCCTTTACTGTATTCCAATCTTTGGTGCACTAACCATTGAGATTCCCAGAACGTGATTAGTATGTGACGTGAGCAGTAAGCATTGCATTTTGCATCATGATATTGAGACATTTTCCAATGATTAATGATTGTACTGGGAACAAGGGAAGTGGGAATGCCAAAAGTAGTTTCTCCATCTCATACCAGAATGAGTTTAATTTTCTCCAGAATCCCAGTATTTTGTAGGTTACTAGGTTTTGATGGCCTGGGGACATCTTCTCGCAATCCTGGAGCCAGCTCAAAACATTAGGCGGCAAAACTATTGCAGCTGCACTCACTCTACACAGAAGTCATATATAAAGTTCTCCCCTCTCTCCACAGCTGCCATGTAGACAGTCCTTTTCTCTCTCCCCCAACAGCAACTATATATTCACCCTCCATCTATTCCCATCAGCTTAATAAGAGATCATCTGTAATATAGCGTATAATGATATGCCTTACAGCACTTTACTTGTTATTAATCACAATGCTCTAGGGCTGCAACTAATGATTATTTCCATAATCGACTAGTTGTCCGATTATTTCTTCCATTAATCAGATTAAAATAAATGCCATCCTTAATTTTTTAAAAATACACAAATGCAGTATTACAAACATAAAGTTTGCTTCAGAATAAAACTGCATGCCCAATATTTTGCAATCGCACTGCACTGGAACACATGGCATCGTGGTACCGTGCGTGCCAGTGCGGGTGATCACACTGTGGGTGGGAGGCGCGTACAGGGTACCATTGAAATGAATGGCACTGCAATGCACCTCCCGCAGCAGAATTTGTCAAACCAAAACCCAAAATTAATTTTTCCAACCTTTTTATAATTTTTTTCCAATAATTGTATTGTAAGCACACGGAGCTTGAAAAGCTTCAGCCAGGGAACGACAGCTGCCAGTGGCAAGATTCCGCAGCCGGCAGCTGAATGTAAATACAGCAGGTAGTGGGCTGGTGCAATAGCCAAAAGCAGGCCGGCTATTGCACCCACCCAGTGCTTGCTGTGCCCTCCTCACAGCTTGGAGGAGAGAGCTTGAGGATCCAACCAAAGAATTGATAATGAGAATAGTTGACAACTATTCTTATTATCGATTATTGTCGACTAATCGATTAGTTGGTTGCCGCCCTACCATGCTCCCCCTTACACGCCTACTCATCAGATCGGCAATCAGAATGCACATCTAGAGAGTTGAGGGGGAGTTCTGTACATAATCACTGTGATGTCTGGGTACTGTAAGGCAATAGTAATAACATTAAACGCTGTATCACTAAGGACTGTGATGGCATGGAGCCCAAGTGCTTTGGGTTGGATAATGTCTCTGGGCAGGACACCCTGCTTCTGTCCTAGTCATCATGGTGGGACATATCAAGGGTGATCTTACCTTCACTGCCTATGGCAGTGTAATGTTTAGGACCAGGCTATTACTACTGTTCTCTGTAGAAGTAAATATTTTTTTTAATTTCTTGTTTATTGTCTTCATCCATTGAAACAAGGTGTACACATGAATCATTGCATGGCACATTTGTACATAGGGCAATTATCTATTTTCTTGAGTGAAATACCAATAAAACGTTAATAACAAAGACAGTCTAATTTGACATATCAAATCAAAGTAACAAGGACTCTACATAGTGTACAAGAAAGTACAATAAAATTGTTATACAGCTGACCAGGAGTACTATACTGAATTTAAAGTAAGTGCAAATTCACACTAGGGGTCCTACATTTTATGAAATTTAGCAGGACAATTTATTTTCCCAAAGATAACTTTCTCATAGGGGTGACCAGGTTGACAGACTAGGGTAAGAGGGCTATATCCATAAAATAACAATGACTTTACAACACAGGAACAAAGTTTCATGTAGAAATGTTCTGGTTTATTGTGGCCAGGTTTCTTCATCTAGCAGGCCAAAAAGACATATTTCAGGGTACAGGGTGTTGGTAAGTCCAATAAAGTGGCAAGTAGTTTCCTGTTTCCGAAAAAAAATCATGACTGGGCAACTTCATATTAAATGAGTAAAGTCAGCATTAGGTTGAGTACAGTGTATACAATTAGAAGTAGCTACATGGCTCATTTTCTGAAGACAAACTGGGGTTAGAAAAGACTAATGGGTAATGACCAATTGGATGAGTCAGTTATTCTTTGCTGGTGAAACAGATAGGCGGGGAGAGCTCATATCATTCCAGTCATGATCAGTGATGCTGAGCCTGAGGACTTGCCACTTAGATCTGACCATAAGGGGACAGTTAGAAATAGGGATGGCTCAGTTTCTAAATTGTAAGGCCAAACGATGGTGTTGTAGATATCTATAGAAAAAAGAGTGAGGTAAATCAAAGTGAAAAACAATATTGTGCCGAGCTAACAATCATACATATCTAATAAATTGAAACATATATAAATGAGTCACATATATGAGCCTTCAAACAAATGTGGCATAGAAAATATCTACACAAAGACAAAAAAGCAATATAGACAAAAAAAAGTCCCAAGGAAAAAACAAAAGCAAACAATGGTGATTGTGCAAAAAAAAATCCTTAGATGATTGGCAGCCAATCTGCATATAACTCTCAGGTAAGGATAATCACACAATGCAGGCAGACCTTCACCTCCACCAAGTGAGTGATGACATCAAGTGAGTGCTCACCTGGGGAGGTAGACCCACAGAGCTAGGTCAAATGCGCTTTTTCCCTTAATGGGGGAGGGAAGCCCATGCACAGAAAAGGCGATAAGGTCTCCTCAGATCAAAGGTACCAGTATAGATCCAGGTCAAAAGAGAAAAAGGACAAGGACATAGTGCGTAACGTCCAATAAAATGCAATTTATTAAATAAAAAATGCGTACTCACAATGGTGTAAACAGTACAGGCATTGGGTATTGCTGGATCAGACCAGCAGGGCAAATGGCAGCAAAGCGATAAAAAAACCTGTTCGTCCGGCTCAGCTCAGTGCAGTGACATCAGAAGCTCTGCCCTACGTACGTTACGTCAAAACACGTGACTTCATCAGGGGTCTGGAGCTGTAGCTGTGCTTGGTAGCTCTTATTTCCACATTACACTTACTGGCGCTGATCACCTTTATTGTTTATTTTTGGCAGTCTCCGGCCACCTAAATTAGGACCCGGAGACTGCCATATGACCCCGCTCGGAGCGCCGCCCACCGGAGCAGCAGTGACGCGACGCTCGGCGAGGTAAGTAAGAAGAAATGACGCTGACTCGAGTATAAGCCGAGGGGGGCACTTTTCAGCAAAAAAAATGGGCTGAAAATCTCGGCTTATACTCGAGTATATACGGTAAATCAAAGTGTTTTTGTAGTTAGGAGCACAAAACACCATCTTTGTAAATATTAGGCAGAGTTACAATCCCATAAGAATTCCAGAAACATGGGCTGTGTATGATACCAATAAATGAAGGTTTGCACAATTAATTTTATAGTGGTTGGCCTAGACTACTTTCTATATTTTATATAACGCAATTTTCTTTATTTCTTCAGAAAATGGAGATGCCACAAACAAGCCAGAAACAAACAACAAAGCCAGAAAAGAAAGAACAGCTTTTACCAAAGAGCAGCTTCGAGAGCTGGAGGCTGAATTTGCTCATCATAATTACTTAACCCGGCTAAGGCGATATGAGATAGCTGTAAACCTTGACCTCACCGAAAGACAGGTAGGTTCTGTCTGATACATGCATGTCAGGCTTATTTAATAAAACAAAAAGTGCAGTAATCCATGTCAAACAATAATATTACATCTATCAGTAATCTGAGCGTAGTGCTTGACATGGCTTATTATACTTTACATATAGTTACTGACTTATCAGTTACTTTTTAAAACATTTTGGCATGTAATTTTATGATGTAATGGTTGCACCTACTTATATATTATTGATTACTGTACTACTGCTTGGAATGCAGGGTTTTGGCACAGCAACAGCTGGAGGGGAAGACAAGTGTTGTCTACCATTTGATCAAGTGTTAGCTTCATCTTCAAATCTAAAGTACATACCTGAAATTTGATTAGTTTTGGCAGGCAAAACCAAAGTTTTTCTCTATGTTAGCTTCAATAACTAAATCTTACCGTTCTCAGGATCCCTGCCTAGTGACTAACACAGACATGCACACATACCCTCCAGTGGAACTGGCCTTTTCACCCTTATAGTCAAGGTTTTCAAGGTAACCGGGGGCTTTGATTGGTTTAGGCTGGACTGGTGTTAAGATTAATGTCCACAAACCTCTTCGTGATGGATGGTCAAATGCTAGCTTCATTTATCTCCAAGGATCTCAGCAGAAAGAACTTAAGATCCCAGCTCTGGATTACAATTTTTTTTTTCTCAAATAGTTTTATTGAGATTTACAGTACAAACAGTCAGAAACAAGTTATAATAACAACAACTGGTGCCTGTTGTGACCAGGTCATACATATACAACAAAATTCAGTGCATTAAAAGTATCACAATAGTGGGGGAGCCCACTGTCATTCCCTGGGGTACTGCTCATATGCAAGATCTATCAGCTATCTTACAATTCACCCGATATGCCGTTTAAGTGGAGCCCAGGTCATTACTACCCAGCTGGGTTCAGATGTTATCTTAGGAGGATCACAGATGGTATGAGGTAAGCTGATAAAAATGCAGTTCAATAATTCATTGAACCGGAGCAGTCAAGTAAATCAGGACTCTTGTATGATAGATGAGTGATACTAGCAACCATAGGACATACAGCACATGGGAAGACATCGGACAACACAAGGACATTTAAGGAACACAGGGGAAGAGGAAGAAAGAGGGAGAGGGGTAGGGTTCCGGACCGTGACCTTACGTGGAGGGGCACTCTTTACAAGGTTACAGATATAACCTCACATGTGGCATAGTCGACGGGAGAGAGGTGAGTCAAAGAATTTGTCTATCCATGGGGACCATATAGCTTCAAATTTGTGCATACTATTCTCGAGTTGCGCCTTACGTTTCTCTTGTGCCATGATCCAGTGAATATGGGTGATAACGTGCGAGACATGAAGAGACTTTGTGAGCCAATTTAGTGCAATCTCTCTCTTAGCAGATGAGAGGATGTAGAGGAAGAGCTTAAAGGTCTTTCGGGGGAGATGTTCTGGTTTACAATTGAGTAGGGCAAAGACTGGATCTTTAGTCAGCGTGCCGGAGACCAGAGAGTTCATGAGGGCGAATACCTCATCCTAGAAGCCTGAGACCATTGGACACCTCCACCAGATGTGGATAAACGTACCTGAAACAGGGCATCCTCGGAAACAATTTGGTGAGCAGTTGGAGTTGTAAGAGGCCACTCTGGCAGGTACCAAGTACCAACGCATGAGGACCTTGTAGTTTATCTCTAACATACTTGCGCACCTCGAGCTGGATTTGGTGTTCTGCCAAGACTGGTGCCAGGAATACTCATCCATGATATCCCCTAGGTCAGCATTCCATTTAGCCACGTAGGATGGGGGAGGCTCCTCCGGTGGAGATAGGAGAGATGTATATAGAAGGGAGATAAGCCCTGGGTCATGGGGGTTGTCCCTACAGACTCGTTCGAATGGCGAGAGTGTGGTGGTTCTGTCCTGACGGTTGATATGTCCCGTGATGAAGTGTTTGATCTGGAGGTAGCGAAAGAGTTCCTTGTTGGGTAGCTGGTAGTGTTCCTGCAACTGCCAAAAAGAGGTGAGATTGCGTGAAGACCATTCTTTGAAGCTAGAGGGACTGTGAAGTGCCGGGGGGAAGGAGGGGTTGTTCAGTATGGACATGAGGGGTTTATGTGGTGATATTAGTCCATAGGACTTTTGTACCGAGTCCCATAGTTTCAAGGAATGGGAAGTGATAGGATTAGGGATTAGGGGTCGGTGTCTGGGGGGAAGCCAAAGAAGGTTGGCTACAGTCGATGGATGTGTCAACGCGTTTTCTAACGCCACCCAAGCCGGGGACTCGTAGTTCGCATGACATTTAGAGAGTTGGCCTATTTGTGCTGCTTGGTAATATCTGAATAAGTTCGGGACTGCCAATCCCCCCTGGGACTTTGGGAGGTAAAGCGTACGACAGGGAATTCTGGGTCGCTTATCTCCCCATATAAAGGCGAAAATGCGTGACTGTAGTCTATGCAGTATAGGGGCCGGGACACACACTGGTAGCACTCTAAACAGGTAGAGGATTTTTGGTAGGAGGGTCATCTTGACATCCGCAATCCTACCCAACCAGGAAAGGCGATAATTAGCCCAGGTTTTTAACAGTTGTAACAATTTGGCCACCATTTCAGGGTAATTTGCTTTATATAATGAGTGGTAGGACAGAGTTATTTTGATTCCCAGATATGGTAGGTGGGAGGGGCACCAGGTATAGTTATAACTTTGTTGCAGGGACAGCACTTGATCTGTGGGTAGGGATATGTTTAGGGCTAAAGATTTAGCATTGTTGATGTGTAGACCCGAAATAGAGGAGAAGTCCGTAATAATTTTCGTGAGGTTAGGTAGAGATACTAGGGGGTTAGTTATAAATATTAAAGCATCGTCCGCAAACATGCACATTTTATGTGACGCACCCTCGTGAGGAATTCCAGATATGTTAGGGGAAATGCGAAGTTTCCGGGCAAAAGGTTCTAAGATCAAGGCAAATAATAGAGGCGATAATGGGCAGCCTTGTCTTGTGCCCCTTAACACCTGGATTGGTGGGGATCGGTATCCTGAATATTTAACATGGGCTATGGGGTTGTTATATAGGGCTGATATCCAGTTGCTAAAGTGTGAGCCGAAACCCCACTGTCGCAACGTGTAAAATAGGTATGGCCAGGAGACTGAATCAAATGCTTTTCTGATGTCTAAGGAGAGAAGCATAGAGGGGATTTGTTTGGATTTCGCTATCTGGGTGAGAAGAGTGACTCTGCGGATGTTATCGCTAGCCTGTCTGGTGGGGATAAACCCCACCTGGTCATTACTGACCAACATACCAACCACTTGATTTAGTCTATTGGCCAGTACTTTGGCCATTAGTTTAACATCCACGTTAATGAGGGAAATCGGCCTGAAGTTCGAGGGGTTGGAATGATCCAAGGCAGGTTTGGGGATCATGCATATGGAGGCGGTGAGTGATTCTTGTCCAATGGGAATCCCTCTGCGGAGTGAGTTGAATGAGCTAGTCAGGGGTGGGATTAGGAGCTCCTTAAATTCGGCATAGTACGCCGCGGTGAAGCCATCTGGACCTGGCCTTTTGCCCCTTGATAGGGAAGAAATTGCCAGAGCAACCTCTTCCTCTGTAATAGGTTCCTCGAAGAAGGCCTTTTGAGAAGAAGAAAGACGGGGCAAATCCAGGTCCGAGAAGAGTTCATCCGCTGCTGACCTAATTGTTCTTGGGATGTGTATAGGGTAGAGAGATGACGGTGAAAGATGTCAAGAATTTTCACCGGGTTGGAAGTATGTATTCCCGTGTGAGTGCGTAGTTTAATTGGTTTAAAGGAGGGATCTAATCTCCTAAGCCTAGAAGCTAACATGGAGTCAGCTTTGTTCGCTTTCAGATAAAATTTATGAGCTGTGCGGTTAAGCTGTTTGGCCGCGTGATCAGTTAGTAGTAAGTTAAGGGCTTGGCGAGCTGTATCCAGGTTAGCTTTATTAGTAGGAGAGGGATCTGCGGTAAAGGCCTGGGAATGGGTGTTGAATGCAAGTTCTAGAGTGGACAGCTGTTGGAGCCTTTCTTTTTTGAGTCTGGAGGATAATTGAATGAGTTGCCCTCTCAAGACAGATTTGTGGGCCTCCCATAAGGTGACTGGGGAGATGTTGGGTGTGCGATTAAGGGATAGGTAGTCAGATATGTAGGATTCAATTAGGAGTTTGTAGGAGGGATCAGACAGGAGAGATTCGTTCAGGGTCCAAGATGTGGATTTAGTGTTAGGAAGTGAGGACGGGAGGAGTAGAGTGGACGGCAGAGTGGTCAGACCATGGCACAGGGATTAGGTGGGAGTGAAGGATGTGGGGCGTTAGAGAAGTATCAGTGAAGATATGATCTATTCTAGAAAACATATTGTGCGGGGAGGAATAGTGGGAATAGTCAGTCTTGTGGGGTTTAGCCTCCCTCCAACTGTCGATCAGAGAGTAGGTTGATATTAAGTCTCTGAACAGTTTCGCCGTGTGCAAGGATGAAGCAGATACACAGGATTTGTCTCGATGAGGATATAATACTAGGTTGGAGTCACCACACATTATGACTGCTCCAGTGGAGCATGAGGCTATTTTTTCGAGGAGGTCCCTGAAGAAGGTAATCTGGTTTGTGTTTGGAGCGTAGTAAGATACTAGGGTGATCTCTCTATCTTCCAACAGACATGTGAGGATCAAGTAGCGTCCCAATGGATCTCTGGTCTCTGAGTGGCAGACAAAATTTACTGATTTACGGAAGCCAATGAGGACTCCCTTCCGTTTGCAGGAATCATTGGCCATATAAATGATGGGGAATTGGGAGCCAAAGTATTTGGGGCAGGAGGTTCTCGAGAAATGAGTCTCTTGAAGAAAAATAATGCTAGCATGTGAAGATCTAAAGAACCTAAAAGCTTGTGTGCGCTTGTTGGGAGAGTTGAGCCCCTGGACATTGAGACTCAGCAGATTAAGAGTCATGGCAAAAATTTATTTTGAGGTAGCCTAAGGTACTCACCTGTCCTGGACCTTAGGGAGAGCGAGACG